TCCGTGTGCTCACCAGAGAGAGAAAGACAGAGCCAGTAAGAGGGAAAGTGAGAAATCACCCCTGGGGAGAGAGAGACATAGAGATAGAAATCGAGAAATCACCTCCCGGGGGGGGGGATGGCCACGCCGAAATCCCTTCTCCTCCATTCTCCTCTCGGGATCTTGGGCACACACGCACACGCACCCGGCCTGAGTTTTAAGCCACTGGGTCCGGGACGTGAACTACGGTCAACTACGTGGGAGTCCAGTGACATAGCCATTACGCTAACTGCTGGTCCCATGCCAGGTGTGATTTTGAAGCCACCGGGTCTGGGACTTGAACCATGGTCAGCCATGTGGGAATCTAGTGATGTAACCGCTATGTCATCTGCTGGTCCCATGATGGTGCTATTCTTGATGCCACTACTGAGCCAATATTCATCACATACAAAGTATGTAGAAATCCAAAACTTAAGTTAGAGGTAGGAAGTGGATTATATAAATGTATTGTCTTAGACTCATATTTTTGTGGTACTTTGGATTCTTCCTAGGCTTTGCTATAGAAAAGACAGTTAAGTGGTATCAGCTATAGAAAGACTAAACTCAGGGCCGGCAGGTGGCGTGGTGGATAAAGGCACTAGATTCCCACATGGCCGACTGCGGTCCAAGTCCTAGACCTGGCGGCTCCGTTTTTCCCCTTTCCCTCTGTCTTTCTCTGGTCAAATTGGAAAATGATAATAACAACAAATGAAATAAAATAAATACATAATTCTAAAAAAAAAAATTAAACTCTTATATGAAAGGTCAAGACACCAAAGTACACATCCCAGAGAAGTACGATTTGGTTTGAAGACGATAATAGACTTTTTTTTTTTTTAATTTTTGCAAGAGAGTGCATGTGCTTTCCAGAGAGAGAGACAAAGAAACAGAGAGGAGAGGAGAGGAAAAAGCACTCCCTCATGGGAAATGGTAACATCACAATCCCTTTTCCTCCATCTCTTTCTCCTGTCAGGATTTTGGGCACACTACCCAAGCCACCAGGTCTAGGACTCAAAGTGTATAGTTGGCCAGTGGGGATCCAGCTGCCTTATTCACCAGGCCACAGAGCTGGCTTGTAATAGACATTATTTTTAAATAATTCTTTTTAAAAATTATTTTATTTAATTTTATTTATTATTTATTCATTTGTTCATTTCAATTTGACCAGAGAGGGACAGAGAGAGAGAGAGAGAGAGAGAGAGAGAGAGAGAGAGAGCGTTTTTTAGGGCTTAAACCCCAGGGGGCCATGTGGGAATCCAGCCCCTTTAACCCCCATGCCCCCTGCCGGCCCCGGTAATAGACTTTTTTTTTTTTGGAGAGATTTTTTTTCGCTATAGGGCGCGTGCACTCGCCAGACAGACAGAGAGAGACATAGAGACGGAAAGCGAGAAATCACCCCCCAGGGGGGATGGTCACGCCGCAATCCCTTCTCCTTCATTCTCCTCTCGGGATCTTGGGCACGCACGCACACGCACCCGGCGTGAGTTTTAAGCCACCGGGTCCGGTACGCGAACCGCGGTCGACTACGTGGGAATCCAGCGACATAGCCATTACGCTAACTGCTGGTTCCCATAGACATTTTTAAGCTACCTGTTTGGTGACCGTTTCCCTGTTCTCCCCTGTTGAGATCATTCTAATTTTATTAGGATAGTGATGACTCAGTCTGATATAGGTATGAGCTTTCCCAGCCAAATGGGGGACCATGTGACATTGTTTTGGCCAATAAGATGAGACGATGACGGATTAGGCTGGCATCATCTTTGGATTCTTCTTTCCCTCTGTAGCCTTTAATAGAATGTGATTCCTGAAACCACAACAGCCATCTTGGTTTTTGAAAGAGTGAGATGCCAGAGAAGTGTCATCTCTGTCCTCATTGTGACATGCATGTGATAGTTTATGCCTATAATTTATGCCTACAGTTGCTACCTAGAACTTCTCATATGTGAGAAAAAACAAACTGCGATTTGTTGAAGCTGTTGTAGCCTGGTTTTCTGTTGCTTGCAGTTAACTGATATGAGACTGCAGTAACAGTAGCGTCAGCTCTGATGATCAGACAGTTTCACAAGTAGTGATTTTAACTAGACTTGACTTTCCAGAGTCAAGAACTCTCTGGCTTCTGACATCTGAATCCCATTTTTATCTGTTTGTTTTGTGATCTTTCATACGGCAGCTTTTCTTCAAGTATTCTCAGTTGGCCATTGATTTTTAAGACTGACTCATAAAAGAACCTGGGTGTATGGCAAAATGCGTTGCCTTAGGGGCTTCTGTGTAGGAATGATTGGGTGGTGAGACAGTCTTTTTGTTGGCAGACTCTTTAATGTCAGAGTTTGGAGATCTTTCCCCTGGAATGTCTAATTTTTCCAAATGAGAATTTCTGATGGGGTATATATAGGGATAGGGATACACTTTCTGGGAGCAGGAACGGGACGTGCCTGAAACTTCCATAGTTTGGTGTCTGGGCTCTTACATATCACATCAGTTTTCGACTCTATCACACCTATGTCCAGTCTTTGACTCTATGACTCTCTGTCCTTGCCCTGCATGTAGCTTAGTCTCTAAGTCCAGAGACTCTTGGGTTAGTTTTTGTTTGTTTGCTATAGGGCATATGCTCTTGCTGTGGCAGGGAGAAAGAGAAATCACCCCCCAGGGGGAATGGCCATGTTGCAATCCCTTCTCCTCCATTCTCCTCCTGGGACTTTGGGCATGCAACACACACACACACACCCGGCATGATTTTCAAGCCACTGCGTTTAGGACTCAACTGCACTGTTGGCTGTGTGGGATCCAGCCACCCTAACTTCCATGCCATCTACTGGCTCTCTTGGTTAATTTATTCAGAATATGAGCTTCCATTCTCCTGTGGAGCAGAGAGAGGAATATTTGTCTGGCTGAGATGAGGGTACATGGAACTGGAGGTTCAGTGAGTACACAGAACCCAGCAACCTCACTAATTTAGAACCACACCTTCACATCCACGCCACCTCTTGGGGTACTCTCTGCCTCCACACACAACTCCCAGTTTCTGGTTCATTACTCATTGAAATCCCCCTTTTAGATTTCAGCTTCCTGTTCTATTAAGTCACTTATTAGTTCATGTACTTTCCATCTTCCACAAGTTTGGTGAAGTCTCTGTTCCTGTTTCCTCTCCAACTTCTAGTTGGGAGGTAATACCTTGTACTATATATTCCTCTGCTGTTATTTTACTGGTATTTGGGAGAAGGCTCAGGAGTGTGACCATTCTACCATGTTTTCCTTCCTTTTTCTAGTTAACTCAGTTTTTTTTTTGAGAAGTTTTTACTATAGGGCGTGTGCGCTTGCCAGACAGAGAGAGGCAGAGGGACCGCG